ACCCTGACTTTTTTCAGGGAACAGCTGGATGAGATTCTTGGTTAAATTATGTACTAACTACTGTATTAGCTTAATGGCCTCTTCTCATACAGTATATAATGGTTCTTATATTGCTATTTCCTAAATTGGATGAATTGAACTCTTTGCTCTAGTGCTCAGAGTGTTATCTAGGTGCAGCACATACACGTGAAGGCAAGAGCATTGCTTACCTCAGGAGCTGACAGGAGATTGTGCATGGCCAAAGCTCAACTAGCTGAATCATTTAAGTTGTTTGAGAAGATGAAGTACAACACAAAAACACCAGGAGAACAAAGGCAGGCCCCGGGGAGGAACTTGATACCCTGTCCCTATTCTGCTGTCTTTTCTGTGTCCCTGCCGGCCATGTCTTCTCCTCTCTCTGCACTTGCGTGACTTGAGTCTCTCGCTGCAGATGGGGACGTGTACGTCTCGGAGGCGGAGTCCGAGTTTGCGGGCCTGCCTGTGGGCGTGGCACTGCACGGCCTGACCAAGACATACGGGAGCCGAACTGCCATCCGGAACCTCAACCTGCAGTTCTACGAAGGCCAGGTCACCGCGCTTCTGGGACACAACGGAGCAGGGAAGACCACCACCATGTGAGACAGCTGCCCTCTTCTCCCCCAGTCACTAGCCTTTTCAGATGTTAGAGTACTTAACAACCTGCTCATATACAATATAAGAATTGTTCTAAACGTATTTATCCTGAGCGCTGGCTGAACCGCTGTCCGGTTTCATGTCTGTTGATCATCTGTTGGGTGTCTCTGCACGCAGGTCCCTCCTGACTGGACTGTTCGGTCCCTCTTCGGGCTCGATCGTTGTGTACGGCAAAGACATGCAGACCTACATCAAAGAAGTGCGGAGGGATCTGGGAGTGTGCATGCAGTATGATGTTCACTTTGACCACCTCACCGCCAAGGAGCACCTCCTACTGTACGGCAGCATCAAGGCCCCCCACTGGAGCAAAGCGGAACTGTACCAGCAAGTGAAAAAGTGAGTCTCCCCTGACCTGGGCAATGAAATGGAATTTGCTTTTTTAAAATCATTTTTCTCCACTGCAAACATGCTCTGTTGCAGATAAGGTCCAGTTGAAATTCTAGACCTGTTTTAAGCCCTGTTATAAATGTACGTCTTTGGAATTTACAAATCCCTTTCGGAAAATGAGGATCGGATTTTGAAGAGGCAAAGAGTTTGTTTTCTAATCCATGTATCCATTTCTAACACACTGATAAAGTGTATTTGGACATGACCGCAGTGAGCTTAATGGCTCGACGTTTCCCAACATCCAAAGACAGCATTTGTGTAAAGTGTGTGATCGTCTGAATTTGTCCACGTTTTATACACATGTACACAAGTGAGAAAATGGTCAGATCTTGGGGAAAAAAGCCCAAAAAGGGGTGAGTGGAGCCCCCTGCTGGACAGCAGACTTCAGCGCTGCTCAATGTCTCTTCAGGACGCTGCAGGAGACGGGGATGTACGCTCACCGGCACAAGCGCGTGGGCACGCTGTCGGGTGGCATGAAGAGGAAGCTGTCCATCTCCATTGCCTTCATCGCGGGCTCGCGACTGGTGGTCCTGGATGAGCCCACGAGTGGAGTGGACCCTTGCTCTCGACGTAGCATCTGGGACATCGTCATTCAGAACAAGACAGGTGGGAGAGGGAGAGGGAGAGAAGAATCTATATGTCGTACAGGGATTCTATTATTTAAGCCCTTTCTTGAGTCATACTGCGCATTACTCCCATCTTGATGGGATGCTGGTCAGTCCCAGGGCAATTCCAGATGGGTAGACTGGAGTAATCTGAGTTTAGTCCCAGTGGAGACCTGAGCCCATTCTGGAGAATTATACATCACCTTTCTCTGCTGCTCAAGTTCATTCCTGCGCCCCCAGTTACTGGGGAAGCCTTCCATGCTCTAGCATCAGGTACTGGTTCTGACTGAGATCCCAGTATTAGATTACAGACTTGGGAGTCATTTTTCATTCCTGCTTTCATCGAAAATACATGCAAAAATGCAACGTACAGCTTTGCACTAGATGTGTTTTCATCTTTTTTTTAGTTTTCTAACATTAAGAGGTTATGTTTCTTCCTTTCTCAAAACGTGTTAGAAAACGCTGCACTGAAATCGCTCCTGGTCCTTCAACAAACCTTACCACAAATATATACTTTTAGAAAATGGAGAATAAGAATAGTTCGTGCCACTGAGAGAGACAAACCAAGAGCAAAAACACCGTTGAACGATTTCTACTCCATATATAGCAGCAGGGTGGGCAGCTGGTCTTCAGTTTGTGCAGGCCGAGCCTTTGACAAGCGGGGTCTAACCCGTTGTGTGTCTGTCTGTGTGGTCAGAACGCACCATCATCCTGTCCACACACCACCTGGACGAGGCCGAGGTGCTGAGCGACCGCATTGCCTTCCTGGAGCGAGGGGGCCTGAAGTGCTGTGGCTCCCCGTTCTTCCTGAAGGACAAGCTGGGGAAGGGCTACAGCCTCACCCTGACCAAGAAGGTGACACTCCCCTCTTCAGCCCCTTTCATTCCTCCGGCTCTCTGCTCCCTCCCTCTCAGTCTGCCCTCCCTGTCTGTCCCTTGCCGCCCTTTCATTTGCACATCCCCTGTTCTCTGGCTGCCCACCTGGCAGGGTGGACATTTCTCAAGGTCTCCCCTGGCTTCCAGAGCTGTTCCCTCCATCCCTGATGCCTTGGCAGGGATGCCAGGAGTCACTACGCAGTTCAGTGAAGGTTTGAAAACAGGTTTACTTTGTAACAGAGAGGGCTCCCAGAGATCACACCGTAAGAGTGATTTTCTGATTTACACACCAATGTTCACAAGCACCTTGTGTATTCTGAAACCTACCCTTACTCTGATTGGCATTTCAAAGATGAGCTGGAGAAGAAGCCATGGCAGTGAATGGAGAAGCACATCTACTGAAGTTGACCTTTTGATCCTTCATACAGATTTCCATATATGTGAGACAGGGGTGTGCCTTACTCTGCCGAGCTGTCAGGTTATTTCATGAATGCGGCGGTTGTTTGCACAGCACACCCCGAAATGACAGAAACCTACACCCCCTATCTCGACAGGCGGAGACCCCAGGCTCGGACGCAGGGTTTAACAGTGAGGAAGTGAGCGCCTTCATCAAGTCCCACCTCCCGGAAGCTTGGCTGAAGGAGGGGGAGGTGGGCGATGTGGTTTATTCCCTGCCTCCCTTCAGCTCTCAAAATGCCGAGGACTACCGGTCCCTGCTGACGAGTCTGGACAAGAACCTGGACACCCTCCAGCTGGGCTGCTACGGTATCTCTGACACCACACTGGAGGAGGTGGGTACTTTCAGACCCCCCACCCACACACTCTGAACACTCATTCAGCCTTCAGGACACACAGTTTCAAAACAGAGGGTAACATCCAGTAAAGGAAATACAGGGGCATATCCAGAGTTTTTAAATCAGTTATTTAAAAGCACACATGTCCACCATCTACATGCTTAAAAGTTCATTTAACCTCTGTGTGGTGAGGATGAGTGGGATAAATAATTGCCTTCTGTGCCAGTGGGATGTCCTCAAGGTGGCGCTATGCGTGTGTGTGTTTCGGCAGGTCTTCCTGCAGCTGACGGGCGATGAGGAAGAGGAGAGCCGGGCCTGGTCGCGGACCAAACGGGTGATAGACCTGGCAGCTGAGAGTGATGGGATGCCAGAAGAGACTACATCCAGCAGCTACACCGTCAGCGACAAAGAGGGTGTGTGTTCGCGACATACTGGTCACAAAACGACCAGAAGAACCCTGCCACACACACAGATATCCTTTTCATTTTCCGTACCTGAAGCAACTATGTAAACTATAGAGTCTCACACCTTTGTTGTAATCCATGATAAAGTTAACACACAGAAACCCAAGTTCTTTTGACAGTTCTTTTAGCATCGGTGTAAAAGCTGCAAAATTATTTTAAGCACCTTAAGAAAGCTCCACAGTCGAAACAATGTGTTTCATTTCTTCTCTTTTCAGCATAGAATGAACATTTGCTTGTTCCTTTGCATGCAGACACTGCTGCCTACTTGAAGTACTTCAAAATTATTTTAATGCTGTTATGAAGTGTTTGGCATTTCTGTCTCTTTACATACTATTAAATCAGTTTCCTGCTAGTTTTCTTCTTCTACCTGATGAATATGTAATGTGGAAGGCAGCATAGCACTTGCTGAAAAAAACATTTTTACTAGGAATGAGGATGAAAGGATGAATGGCTTTTGCACTGGGCAGTTCCCAGCTTTACATCTATTTCTCTTTTTGATGCCCCTCCCCCAGCACTCACAGGCTCCGCCTCTGTGGAAGGGCTGGCTCTGATTGGTCAGTGTGTGCTAGCTATGCTGATAAAGCGGCTACACCACTCGCGCCGGAACTGGAAGGGACTCATTTCTCAAATCCTGCTGCCCGTCCTGTTCGTCATTGCTGCCATGGGCCTGGGTACCATCAAGAGCAACCTGCAGGACTTCCCTGAGCTGAGGCTCTCCCCAGCACTGTACCCTGATGGCCAACAATATGCATTTTTCAGGTCAGACGCCCTGCAGCATTTTCAGAATCCACACCACCACTCTTTAGTATTAGGAAATAGCTGCACAGTCTTCATCCATAACCTGATGTTATCCGCTCAACAGCAACGACAACCCCAGCTCCAGTCCCCTGGTCAACACCATGATGTCATTCCCTGGAATAGACAACGTGTGCCTCGAGAACCCGGCCAGTCAGTATGTATCCCGCTGTTCCCTCTTAACTATTGCTCTGCCATACCCGGCATGCTTCTAGGATTTATTGAAACAGTGTAAATCCATAACACATATATTTGGTTTCAATGTGTTCTACTGTGTTTGCTGTGATTTCTCCATCAGATACTGTTTGAAAGACAGCCAGTTGGGTGACTGGACCAGAAGTGGAAACATGTCCCTTCCTAATGGGATCTGTGAATGCACCAGCACTGTACAGGTGAGAGGCCCACTGCTCGGTGTAAACACTGCTCAGTGGCAGCGCCCACTGAACCCAGTACTGTATGTCACTGGTAATTTTTTAAAGTTAGTTTTGAGGGCGCTTTGCAGGAAATATAGAAGTTGACAGATGAAGAGCTGAAGATCCGCTGTGCTGGACCTGCTGGAGATTTCTTTACTCAAGATGTCTTCCCTGTGTGACTTTCATATCGTCAGAGCTTGCTGGAATAAAACTGGATCTGGATTAAAAATGATCGCACATCTGTTTGGGCTTTGAGAAGAATGCATGGTCCAGATGACATGGAAGAGGCGTTTTATGAGTCTGCTGAGCTTGCTAGAACTGTCCCGATATTTCTCCAGGGGTTTTGTTCCACATGGGATGAAACAGAAGTGCGGGAGAGAAGTCTACCAACAGAGAGCAGGCAGTAACGTTTCAGTTTAGGGATCTGTAAGAAGCCATTAGAATCTCTGCACAACAGTTTCGTACAGTAACAGCGCTATTAAGGTTAAAGGACCTTTTGAAATAAAAAAGTTGCAATTTCCTTCTTAAATATCACATTTTCATCACTTCAGCCGAGTGTGCAATACCCAGTTCAAACCCCTTTACATAACTTATTAACAATATAATCTTATATAAAGTATATATCTTATATACAGCTATAAACTGTATATACTGTAGTAGTTCAGGTGGGTAGCTGCGTCAGCATGCGTAGGCTGCAAAGGAACAAGTAATAGGTTTATTCCATGCTGAAAAAAAAGGAGAAAGAAAACACAACATTTCGGCCGTGGAGCCTTCTTGACACACCTGAAGAAGGCTCCAAGGCCGAAACATTGTGTTTTCTTTCTTCTTTTTTTCAGCATGGAATAAACCTATTACTTGTTCCTATATATATACTGTACATCTCATATAGTTTATATTAACTTCTAAGGGATTCGAAATGATATTCCAGCACAGCTTTACCCAAATCCCTTACCCCTCTCAGGGCTGTTGGTTCAGTCTTGCACATCTCAGTACGTTTGCCCATGTATTCTTCCTCAGACTTGCCCCAGGTTCAACTTTGAGCCCCCCAGCAAGAGGAATCCATCATCCCAGATCGTCTACAACCTGACAAATGTCAACATAGAGAAGTACCTCTTGTTAACTGCCAACAATTTTATCCAAGACAGGTCAGTACAGCAGACCCTGTGCCAGCTTGTTTCTCTCCTTGTTTCCTTGCTGCGATTCCACATTTCCTGATTTCTTTTCTTTGGCCTGGGTTAAAAGCTACGTTTTAAAACTATGTGGGAATAAGGTGATAGCTCGGACCGTGCTGTGTATGTTAATCGGCACTGTTACTGTAGATCAGATGTAGTATTGCTCGCCAGGGAAGATGAATGACTTTTTTTCACTGGTAATTTGGGTTTTCAGTAAATTAATCTGGGGGGAACTGTTTTGGACAGAAATTAATGAGTTTATGACATTTGAAATGAAAAAAAAAAATGTTTTCCAGCCAAAAGTAGGTGATTTCCAATGCTCTATTCACTACTTCTGATGAATTCTATTTTAGCATTCAAAACAGTATTCAATACAATTCAGTACTACACTAATAATGGTTATATTAGCCATTGCTTGTTCAGCGTTACTATAGTATAATACACCTAATTTAGCTTTTTTAAACGAGCGAGGATCTATTCAGGAGTGGCTCTGCTGACCTCCTGTATCTTTTCTGTCTCAGGTATGGGGGCTGGTCCTTTGGGGCATCCCTTCCCACTGACCTCAGGATGGATATGGTGCAAAAGCCCCAAAACCGAACCCTGACCAAGGTAAGGAGATCATCAGTTCTTATGCAGTATCTGTGTCTGTCTCCAGAATTTTCAGATTGTTTGGGTTGGAAAAGTAGATTACAAGTATCTTTTACTTTTGCTTCCCAGGTGTGGTACAATCCAGAAGGTTATCACACGATGCCTGCTTTCCTCAACAGTCTGAACAACTTCATCTTGAGGACTAACCTGCCCTCTGACGTAGATCCAAAGAAATATGGTGAGACCTCCAACTCTTGTCTTCTTAGCCCGCTTCTCTGGTACATCCACAATACTTTTACCCTGGACTGTACATGCACACTGATACAGGCTACCTCTAATACTACAGAAAGCATGTGCACTGTGGTCTGTAATAAAAAAATACGCCAAAGTGCATTCCAAGAACCATACTAGATAAATTCACTTCTATCTTACGGGGAGATGAATATAGTTTCCTCTCATAAACAAGGAAACAATTATGCTAATGCACATATACATTATGCGCTTTTAAAAGAAATCCACATTTTCTCAGCCACATACAGTACTTTATTCCAGTTAATTACAGCACTCGTCTGATGATTAAAAATGCAACAGAAGGTCTCTTTGTGAACTTCTGATATTGAAGTGAGTTGTGTTTTCTCTATAGGTATCACAGTGTTCAGCCACCCCTACCCTGGCCAGGTGCAGAATGATGATGTCATGTAAGTATATGGCAGCCCACTGGGCAGGCCCTTTCTGTGTCTCCCACACTACTGCACAGATTTAATCTACTGCAAACGGTGTGATTATTTAAGATCCTTTCATTGATTGCAAACTTTGTTTTTACATTTTCAAGTCATGTCGCTTGAGGGTTTTGGCAGTAGCTGGTGTATTGCTGTAGCAATGAGGTAGCAAAGGCTGCGTTGGGATGTTGTGTTTTTCTTGGTCAAGTCCCTGCAACCAGAAACTCATGAGAATGAGGGCTTTACCAGTCCTAATCTATTTTAATTGTCTTTTAAACAGATGGATAAGCACAGAATTGGCACAGGGATTTGTATTTTCGAATTCTCCTAAGGTCTAATTCTCCTAGATTAGGTCTGTTCCAGTTCGTGATGCTTGTTGAGAATCAACAAAGAACTGTGTAATATTCAGCTTTATAAATATTGGTGGCGTGGGAATTTGTAATCATTGTTTTGTCTTAGATTGCTTTATTTTTCTATCCCCGTGAAAAAACAAATATTGCTTTCTTTCAATACTTTTCCCAATAATAAGTTAACAGCCATTTACAATACTGCCATTGGCTGAATACAAGAAATATTTAAAAGCCTGAAAGACCTTTCCAACATGCAGAGATTGATTCATGATTCTTCTGCTTTTAGAATCTTCGGCGACAGTATTTTACAATTTGTCACCCGACTCAGATACCAGCTGCTCTGAGGAGGCTCATTCCCATAGAGTAACCGTATCACCACTTGGTAATAAGCAGCCCAGAGTCCTGTTTAGTCCGCCTCTCTCCAGTAGATTTTCAGCCTCTCTGAAGAAAAGCAGCATTAATCTGGCCCTCGGGAGCAGAAACGGCAGGATATTCCTGATAGGATTCAGATGTGTCTTCGGAGTTTGGCGAAACATATATCATCTTCGACAAAACTTTTCTCTGTCCTAATTCTCTCACGGTGCTGCAGTTGATATTCTCTTTCCACCCCTCTTGCCTTCCATTATGCCCCATTAGCCCATCCCTACTCTTTCTTCCCCTGACCCCTTTCCCAGGAATAATCATAATAGGAGTGATATATTGCCTCGATAAGAGGATTCATAGCATGCCAAAGAAGTTTGGGAAAACTCCATCTTTGTGCATTTTGCTAAAATCCTCCTTCTCCATTTTTCCCCTGGTTAGCTGTAAATTCAAAAAGTTGGCATTAGCATGAGTTGACACAGGGGGAAAGACAACTACAGGTATGTTGAAATTACAAGATCGAAACAGACAAGGTGCAAACATGTCTAAGGTCAAGCCTGGTGCTAGAGGGTGCAAGCACGTCTGGGCCTTCTAGCCTTAAGTGTTATTCTTGGCCTGATGTACAGTACAGTAAAGGCTCAGGATTGATGTCTGTGTTTATGGGAAATGCACTGAGCCTCTTACAGAAGGCAGCATCAGCTTCTTGAAAGCGTTCAGTGAGACTGCAGCTGCCTGTGAGCTGTGAGTGGCCTTGATCAAATCTCGGTGGGGGTCCTTGTCACAGTGCCCTTGTTGGAAAACCGGACAATTTCCTTTGTGCTTGCTTGCGGAGGTCTCACTTAAACGCAGCAAGTCTGTGTCGCTCCTTCTGTCTCTGACCCTCTGTCCTCGCCCCCGCGGCCCTGTTTCCTCATCAGCCTGCGGAACCTGGTGAACACCCTGGTGGCCCTGTGCATCCTCCTTGGGTACTCCATCATGACCGCCAGCTTCGTCGTCTACGAGGTGCAGGAGCACCACAGCGGGGCCAAGAGGCTGCAGCACATCTCTGGCATCGGGGAGCCCTTCTACTGGATCGTCAACTTCTTCTACGACATGGTACTGCACTCCAGACCCCCGAAATCCTGCCCCCACCCCCGAAATGATAGATCACAATGAGTCACTCTGAGAGCCCGGAGAACAAAAGCACCTTAAATCGGTCAGGAGTTGAAGGAATGCAGCATTGAAAAGCCTCTTTTTTCACTCAGAAGGAAGTGAGAAGTGGGAACCCTCTTGCAGTTTGGGTGGCTGTGTGAGTGTGCCTCTCCCTGTCTCCCTCCAGACCCTGTACCTGTTCCCGGTGGCTGTGTCCGTCGCCGTGATCGCTGCCTTCCAGCTGCCAGCCTTCAACAGCCAGTACAACCTGGGCGCCGTGTCGCTGCTGCTGGTGCTGTTCGGGTGAGTGCCGACCCCACACCTCCATTCCTGCCGCCCTTCCTCGCCTGACCAAAGCCTTCGTCGTGCTAAGTGCTAGAGTGGAACATTCGCAAGTGGTTTTCTTTTCCGCACAGACATTTTGGGGATTTAATTTTAGTTATCAAATGCCGTAGCTAAAAGACGACCTCTGACATGTTTCAGAGCTGAAACAGTCAAACAGTTCCAATGAATCCTGATATAGAGCCAAATAAAGGTTCATTTCTGTAACTGAGAACTCGGCTGGATCAAAAACCAGCAGGATCTCCAGGTCCCGGACTGGGAACCCCTGATACAGAGCACCTCACCTCCACCACGTATTGGTTTTTGTTTGGCGGCCTGTGCCTGTCATGTTCCACAAGGCAAAGGGCTGTTGTGCAAAAAACAGAATCATACACAGTAACGCAAAGAGAACAGGTATCACCCGTTTCCTACTTGCATTAGGAAACACGCACACATAAAGTCTGCCTCAGTTTTCCTTATCCCCCAATCCAAACCAGGAGGTACACCCACTACTTGTGGCAAGTTCCTGTATACTTCAATGTACATTTCATTACGCCAGAAACTCACAGAGTTTTGCTTGTCTGACTATTCCCAAGAATCTGATTTCCATGTACTATAGGTGTTTCTCTAATTTAATTATAATAATTGTTTCCATAATCTCACATATAAGAGAAGTCAGACGTATTAGTCTGTAATGATGTGATTCAGTTTTATCACCCTTGTTATGGATGGGCACCACATTAGACATTCTATTGTTGTTTATTGCCTGGAAATTACCCAGAATCACCCAGAATGGACAGTGCAGGTGTACTATGGATAATTTATGAGTTCCTTTAACACATTTTGTGATGAAGTTGAAATCCACTGTACTGCATCACATCTCAGCTCTTCTTAATATACGGAGATGAAGCCTCCCTGAAAGCAATAATCCATCCTCAGGACATTCCATTAGCAGCCTCATGGTAACAGGACATAATTGTTTTAAAAGGAAAAAGGAAAAAAAGATTCCTGGTTTTTAATCAGTTCAAAAACACTTGGCTTTTAATAATACTGAAACAAATCTCGAGTAGCCCCCAATTTCAGACAACCTCAGCACAGCTCTTACCATTCATCAAACACAAAGTAATTCCCAGGCAATAAATAACAATAGAAGCATACAAGCTGTCTGCACTCACCTGGAAATGTTTAATTGCTCTTGTTCAGAGCCTGGCTCTGAGGCATGATGTCCCATCAGCCTCTCTTACTGGCACTGTTTAACCGCAATGCCTCACCTGACCCCTGTACCTCAATCACCCAGCTTCATGAATAAAACAGTGAGTCTCTGGAACCGGGAGCAGGAGAGAGGTGCTTCATCAAGCCAAAACATATCATCATGCAAGAGGACGGGAAAAAGGCATAAGATAGATAATGGCAATTGTTCAGCCTGAAGATATTTTTTACTCAACTCTGCATCTTTTTTGATTTTCAGTATTCTTTCCTCTTTATTTTTTCCTTGAAGGTTTCCACATATACAGTATATTTGCAACTATTTTCCTCCTCCCTTTCCACTCCCTTATATGGAAAACTCCCTGTACAGTTAGAGAGTGCTAAAAGTAGTGGGATCCCCAGGCTTCTGTCTCCTTTCCTTGTCCCATGTACCCTGGAGAGCAGATCCAGATTCTCTCTGACCTCTGACCCCTCCTACCAGAGCTCTGCAATACCCAGGTCTGCATCAATGAGGATGTGTCATTTCCTCTTCTGCAAAACCATGCATGTCATGACCATATGATCTTCGCCCTACCCCCTTACAGTTTGGCCACTTTCCCATGGATGTACCTGCTGGCTGGGACCTTCAAGGACACAGAGATGGCCTTCATCAGCTACGTGTGCATCAACCTGTTCATCGCCGTCAACACCATCATCTCCACCTCTGTTGTGTACTTCCTCATGCAGATCAACCAGGTGAACGGGCGTGGCGATCCGAAGGTGAGCAGAGTGAGAGAGGAGCAAAGATCAACATTTAGATAGACCCGCATTTAGATGACCTGACAGACTTTGTTCCACTACTCATGCATTTGTTATGTTTCCCAGTCAAAGTTTCTAGAGAAGTAAAAATGTAATGGATTCATTTGTATCATGCATTTCTGTCATCTATCATGCTTTGATCAGACTGTTCAAAGTTGCCAATAATGACAATTTTGGGAAAGTTTGAAGCCAGTCCTGAAAACCAATAACCACCTCCTAATCCTGTGTCTGTCTGCTTGACTGGGTGGTTCAGAGGTGGTCTAACCACCATCTAGCCTGATCTTGTCAGACTCCATAAATTAGGAAAGGCCGAGCCTTGTCAGTACTGGGATGGGAGACTTCTAGGGAAAACCAAGATTCAACAAGATATATCGTGTTGGCAGGCCAGGGGGTCCCTCTGGACCAGAATTGTCCAATCAATATCCCAGCATGGTGACTGAGGACACCGTTATAGGTGATGTCATTCTTCAGATGAGTCAAGAGCTTTGTTTAATGTCTATTAGGTCATTACAGAACCCATAGCACAATTAAAAAAAGCAGGGTGTTAGCCCTGGAGTCCAGGCTGAATTCCACTCTGGGCGTGTGCAATCTTACATCCATAAAAGTGCCCCTAAATTGAATTCACGCCTCTCCCCCCAATCTCAGCATGACTAGAACAGCTGCCAGACATCACCCAGGTGGGTGGTACACTTCAGTGGTCCAGTGGGTCATCTTCAATGTGTAACGTCTTCGGGGAATGAAATACACTACATAAATGCAATAAACAATTGTAATTCATGTGAGAGGAAAAAAAAGATTTCTGTATTTTCACAGCCTTTGCTCAATGAAGAGCTGGAAGAATTGGCAGCTTATCTCTTTTTAAATTCGATTTCCTTGAATGACAATGAACCTTTTATCCACATTTTGAATAAATCATAGCAATGCTCCTTTTAAATAAAATAAATACTCTATACAGCAAGCTAAAAACGTAGCCAGGGCATCTTGTATAAACAGAGAGTGTATGTGCAAGGACAGATGTTCAAACTTTGCTCAGAAGCATTCTGAAATCCATTGTAAAAGAGTAACAAAAATGAAGAAAGAATTTGTTTACCATTTAAATAGCGTCGGTGATCTGTTGGAGGGAATGAAGTATGTTTTGCCCTGAAGCACAGCTCTTTGAATGTCTTCCCCATGTGTGACCCCTCTCCTGTGTCTACCTGCCTCCCCTGCAGGATATCCAGCGGGTCTACGACGTGCTGAGCTCCGTGTTCCTGATCTTCCCTCAGTTCAGCTTTGGGAATGGGCTGATGGAGCTCTCCCGGCTGCAGATGGAGGTGGAGATGCTCGCGCTGTACGGGGTGGACGCCTACAAAAACCCCTTCAGGATGGACGTCCTGGGCTGGATTTTTGTCTCCATGGCAATCCAGTTTGTGGTGTTCTCCGCCCTGCGCCTGCTGTTGAACACCTGGCTGCTCCGCAAGATCAGGTGTGCTGGAGTTCTGAGAGACCTGAGACATGCAGCATGGGAGCAATGGAGATGAGCTATTACTGCTTGTCCTACTAAAACAAGGGCTGTTAAGAGAAAGCCACTTTTGGGAGTTTAGTTAAAACCATAAGAAAGCTTAGAAATGAAAAGAGGCCACTCAGCCTGTCTGGCCTGTTTGGTAGTTTCTAGTTAATTGATCCACGCGGTTTCTTGGAAGAAGCCAGCGCACCAGCTTCAACAACATGGCTGGGTAGCTTGTTCCACACTCCCTTATAACTTTGGGTAAATAATTCAGCCCCTGGTCTCAATTTAAATGCACTTCCATGTTGTCTCCACTTGCACTCTTTTGATCGTGTTCCACTATCCGTTTTGAAGAAGTGTGCTGGGTTGACTTTCTCATTTGGAATATATTTGGAATACTTGTGTCAGGTCCCCACATAGTCTTCCCTGCTGTGCACTCAAAACGTTTAGGTTCAGTCTTAGTTTGGCAGGGTAGGAGATTCTCTTTAGCATCGTTAGTCATCTCTGTTCAACAGCAAACGTTCAGACCTCCCAGCCTTTTCTCTTCCTGTTAACCAGATTTCTATTACTATTAAATTTTCAAACGCCGGATTAAAGGAGAGACAAGTATATCACAACAACTTCTCCCCCTCCTGGCCTCTGGCATCACTTCTCACCAGAGGATCACTAAACACCCCGAATCAGGCTGCGATGTGAAAAAGCAAAACACAATAGAGATTTTATCTGTGTCAGCAGCAGCATGCCACGTATCCTTTCCAAAACCGTTCAAGCAGGTTTTCAAACAAGGCTCTGTTTCATTTTGTTATATCCTTTTTCTTTGAGATTAAATTCTCAGTGATGATACAGAGCATTTTCTCTCCGCCACCTTCACGCCGCACCTTCTCAGGTCTCAGAGGCTAACCAAGGCCTTGTCAGTTAGTGGAGGGCAGACATCTCAGCAAAACCTGGTTGCTGCTGCACAAGCTCTTGTTGGATCAGTAGGAACAATTTTCCCATTGGGTCGGATGTTCCAAACGAATGACTCAACGAAGTGCACGGAAGCAGACCGCTGTACATAGCGACACTCTCAGGTGACAGCTGAGGGCTGGTCTACACAATGGAGATGGACAGTGTCATGCGTTAAGGGACGAAATGTGAAATTCAAAGATGATATGAAATCTAGCTTACTTGAAGTTCGCCTGCCTTTTCTGCCATCTTCCCGTTCCCAGTCCACGGGGTTCCCTTGAGAAAACATCGTGGCCTACTCAAAGCATATATTATCTTGACATTCCTGGTTGGGCCTTCCTGATTAGGGTGGTGCAGTGACCCACGTTCTCCTCTCTAACCACACAGGAGCCTGCTGTGCCGGAGAAGTGTTCCTGACCTGTTGGAGAGGGATGAAGATGAAGATGTGGTGGCAGAGCGCCACCGTGTGGAGAGTCAGGGGGCCAGCTCTGATGTGTTGCAGGTCAGCCAGCTCAACAAGGTTTACCAGAACCTGAGCAAGAAGGTCCATGCAGTCAGACGGTTGTCGGTGGGCATTCCCGCTGGAGAGGTGAGGCACAGTCAGACCTGACTGGAATTATGTACTTGGAAATGACAGGCTGCCCCTTACATTCATCTAGGACTGTAATGTCCTGCTGTGATAGGAAACAAAATCACTTGGTTACAGCATCAAACATAAGAGCTACCAATTTACTGAATAAAACCCTGGCAGTCTAGCCTTAAAAAAAGTTAACAAAAACTTGTGTAGGGATTTTGAGTATATATTTTCAAGGCAAGATGGAAAAACATTGATTACAGCAGTAAACTGAAGTGATGCTTTTGGGTTTATCAAAAGTTTGTCTTTCTGTGAAGCCTCCCCAGGGTTTTTGAAGGATTCCACTGGACAGGTATTCTATGCAGGTAAGTGGTGTATCTTTAACCCCACGTCTTCTCTGTTTGGCAGTGCTTCGGTCTGCTGGGAGTCAATGGGGCTGGGAAGACCACAACCTTTAAAATACTGACAGGAGAAATCATGCCCACTGACGGGGCAGTGCACATCAGGGACCAGTCTGGGTAAGCCTTTGTTATTTATAACTGAAGGGTTGTGGGTTCGGGTATCCCCAGCAGACAGAACTGCTATACCCCAGTTGCTCCACTTTGCTATGGACTTTTATTTATCTGTATGATTTATTCACAAAGTGGCTCTGTGGCTCAGGATCTGCGCCTGTGGCTGGAAGGGTGCCGGTTCGTATCCTGCAGCCGGCAGAGGAATCCTACTCCATTGGGCCCCTGAGCAAGGCCCTTAACCCCAACTGCTCCAAGGGAGCCATATAAATGGCTGACCCTGCGCTCTGACCCCCAGCTTCTCTCCCTGTCTGTGTGTCTCATGGAGAGCAAGCTGGGGTATGACGAATTTCTAAAACAAGACATTGTATAGGGCCAATAAAGTGATCTTAAAAAAAGAATCAATGTTTTGGTGTTGGGTACGTGCACAGCAAGGAGGACTTTGCTTCACGGAGCTGTGTGCTGTGGTTGCAGGAGACTGGTGAACGTTGCGGATAGTTACAACGAGGGCCTCAAGATCGGCTACTGTCCCCAGGTGGATGCGCTGGATTTCCTACTGACTGCAGAGGAGCACCTGTACTTCTATGCCCGGATACGAGGCATCTCCAGCCATCACATCAGCAGAGTAAGGCATGCCAAGAGCGGGCACAGGCAGTCTTACAGTACAATACAAACCTCTATAGGCCTTTAGACACTCACAGTCAGGGATCTTGCACAGGAGGTTTCCATGAAGTAACTGAAATAATTGAACTACTGGATGAGTCCATTTCTGGGCTGAAAGAGACTTTAAGGTTGCTTCTGACCAGCTCAAAAGTAGATGTAATGGTTGGGAGAAAGGGAGAGAAGGAGAATGTGGCGTTAATGACGGCTGCTAACCTTGCAACACAGGAGATGATGGCCCAGGACTGGAAGAGGCATGTCAGTTGTTTTCATGTTTAGGGGAATTTGTCTTCCAATGAGACAAGTTTGTGCAACACAGTCTTAACGTTTAAGTAGACAGACAGAAAAAAAGGTTTATTTCTTGTATTGTAATGTTTGGAGTATCTCTATAATGAGGACATTTCATTAGAATGTATCAGTTCTTCCCATTAAAATCTCTGCAATTAGAATGCCCCAGTGTATGCTCAGCTCGGTAATTTACAAACTCCAAAAACAGACATCAAATTGGTTTTGCATGCTGCCAAAATTTCTAATGTCGATTGATGTTCCTCCGGGGGAATGTGAATCTTTTCTTGAAAAGCAGCAAAGATTTGAGAATGACTAAGAGATTCCCGAGTTACTACACATTGCTCAGAAATTCCAAATGTATGGGACTGTTTTTTTTTTTTGCTTTTGAATTATCAGCACTGCTGTCAATAACAATGCTTCTCCCTCTTCTCATCGATTGATCCAGACAGGAGCTGAAGGGACATGTGGAAAGTTTGCTCATTCTTGTCACTGAATCAGAGAATTAAATACACTCTGCAATAGTGGAGTGCATGTTCAATACTGACCTTGTCTGCAACAGCCATTCAAACTGACAACACTTTTCTTTTAGACAAATACGAGCTGCTTGCTTTTCCACTTTTTAATCAGCAGTTCCTTTTAATTAAGAACATCCTGTCCCATTGTCTTCAGAATTCTCTGAAAATGTTGAACATATAAAGCGAGTTCTCAGAAACAATAATTTTCCATCCTGAATTAAAGAAAACACCTCATTCTGAAATCCTTGTGGTAACAGCTAGGGCATTCAATAATAAAGGTAATTTAAACATTTCACAGTGGCAGCATGCAGCATATTCCTGCTTTAATTGAGTCCACCCAGAACAATGAATCCGCAGACTAAGCAGTCAATTCAAATACTCAGCAAAGTTTGCATTGCACTGGCCTTTTTTCAGAAAAAGAAGTTTCCGAATTGGCTTTTTACATGTGTGCTACAGAATTACTCAGGGAACTCCAACAGGAACGCACTGTGTGCGGTCCATTAAACCAAATTGGTGTACAAGGCTGAGAGTTCAGTGGTGCATGGATTTTGTTGAACCTGAAAAATTTGATTTGCTTGGGGCGGAGCTGGAGACGAGAACATAAATATAGGTCACTATATACGGGTATATATTATATATACTATGTAATATGTATACTATATATGGATTTCTGTATGACTATGAGTGTGGTGTGCATATTGGTATCCAATGTAAAAAGAACTACTAGCAGTTTCATATGCCTCAATTAATATGTTTTACCCTTACAGCCTTTAAAAAAGGAAGTAATCAGTTCTTTCTGATTATAGAACATAGTGGCAGGTTGTATTGTACTGTATATGAAGCAGTGTAGGGAAGGGTGAGGGGTATTGTGCTGTTCAGGGAGGGTTGCTGGAGCTCACTGTAGTGTGCAGCTCTGTTACTACCACCTTCTATAACTCCATGTAAAAGGGGGTGGAGGGGTCAAGGAGTGATTGGCTCTGTATAGCTTCCTTGGCCCTGAAATCTCACCAAACGATCTCTGGAAACGGCCTGGAAGGTCAGAGAATGCACAGCCTCATCTCCAGCCCCTTCTGGGTCTCTCCCTCGTCAGGTGGTGTCTCACCTCCTCCAGAAGCTGGAGCTCGCGCCTCACAAGGACGTCACCTCGGAGCGCTACAGCTGTGGCATGCGCAGGAAGCTGTCCACCGCGATCGCGCTGATTGGACGCCCACAGATACTCCTGCTGGTGAGCCTACCGCCACGGCGCCCTGCCCTTCCCAAACCGCTGGCAGCCTTCTGGCACGCAGAGGAAGGGCAATACTTCAGCTAACAGTCCTGCTGCTGGTGACCCCGGCTTTTTATTGAACTAAGAATGTCATGAATTAGGGCTATTTTAGTGTTTTCAGCACTTACATATGGAGAGATCCTGGGCTACTGAGTTGACCAAATAAATTCAATCAGCAACAGAAATGATGAAAAAAAAGTCATCAATCATATTGTTTCAAATTTAAGGCTAGCGTGGCACTGGGGGGTCACCATGACTTGGAAACCCTGGTTTAGTGTCTGCAAGCTCCATTTATAAATGCTTTATAAAATGTAATACATGAACAAGACATGAACAGTGTTAATTACGTGTTAAGAACGTGACCCCTGCGATGATTGATTTAATGCTTATTATAACACGCGTGGTCACTTTAGTGTTAATATGTTTACTTGCCACATATTTATAAAGCATTATTTGCAGCTCGTAAACTAAAAGTGTGCCGAAACAGGGAATAAACCTAACCAGTGGAGAATTGCATCCTAATTACTCCTGAATTCAATTTCTCAGTCTTTTATTTTTGCATGTGATAACTTTGGTAATTTAATTTAAAAAGAGAATTAACAGGTTTAAAGTCTGAAACATGGATAGATGTGTCCCTATGCATAGAGCTAATTTGAAAACATTTGCTGCTGAAACATTTTGCACTTCAATTAACTTTGGAAAATTGTCTCAGAATAAAATGTTCTGTGTTCAGTGATATTGCAATTAAAATATTTTGGAATCTGAATGTTTACTCTGAAATGTAATACCTTCAGATTTCATGTGGAGAAAACCAAACTCCGTGCTCCTGAACATTTCCATCATTGCAGAGAGATCTGCTGTGGTTGCTCTTTCTTCACTGTGATTTCCTGTGATCGCTTTAGGATGAGCCCAGCTCGGGGATGGATCCCAAATCCAAACGTCATCTCTGGAAGATCATCTCCGAGGAGGTCAAGGCCAAAACTGCTGTCGTCTTGACCTCACACAGGTACGAAGCGCTCTCCACCCCTGATGGGCATGGACTTCTTCTTGTGCCACATATGGAGACTGACATACCTTTCAGGTTACCGTGGTAATTGTTTCTGCAAGCCTTGACAAATCAGGACAAGACGTTTCAGCCTTACCTTTCTAGTGACAAGTCACAAACCTGCGTCAAGTTTCTGGGTGTAAGAGATCTTTAAAACAGGATTTCAAATACCTATTTCTTTACTGGAGCATTGTTCTTCAGTTTCATAAAATGAAATAATTCACTCCTCTTAATTTAGAAGCACAAAAGCTGTGCCAGATATCAACTAATGAGCCAGATTAGTTAAACAGAAGAACTGCCTTTTGATGGCTGTCTGTCTCCTGGTGTCTTTCAGCATGGAGGAGTGTGAAGCTGTGTGTACCAGACTGGCCATCATGGTGAAAGGACAATTCAAGTGTCTGGGCTCTCTGCAGCACATCAAGAGCAGGTCCGTATTTTCCCACTTCGCACATGCTGAAAATACCACAGTGGTAATCACCTTCTGGTTGCACATGATCTTAAATTACCTGATTGACTCTTAACTCTCTGTGGTGAATCACAGTTCTTCATTCATTTGTTTCTATTTCCTATCCCAGGCATCCCTAAACTTTACAAAATCATTGTGAATGAACACGTGTAATGGTATTTTACTTTTTTAGTGCTATAAAAATTTAAAGAATTAAAAATTCACACAATAAAGAACAGGAATTAAAGGATTACAGTGGTCATTTTAAAAAAATTGCACCAAAGTATTCAGTAGATCAGATCTTTGGCATTGCTGTCCCTAATTTTATTGACATTCTTGACAGAAGCAGTTCTGAAAATATGAAGTATGTAAGGAGTGCATGTTCCTATCTTTTACTGAAGGTTTGGGAGCGGTTTCACTGTGAAAATGTACCTCTCTGTGGGCATGCATGACGTGGACCTCATCACCAACTTCATGCAGATTCACTTCCCCAGCACTTACATGAAGGTGGGTGCAGCATCAGTCGCACATGTTTCACAGCTTGTCCTCCACACGGAATGATCATGGTAAAAGCACAGTTCTTCCCCTGCATCTGTGATCTGCAGCTGCAAAGCATGGTCAACACTCTTGTCTCTCTCTAACCTAAGGGCACCTGCCCTTTTAAATTATATTCTTCAAATTTAATGCCTTTGCACTGCACAAGATAGATGAAGTACTATATAATTAATGCCTCATTAACTGTCAGATCCTAATTAATGAATCTTAAACCAAATCAGAACAATGAGGCATGTATCAGTGGGACTGAAAATAGAAGCTATTCTTAACTGCATGTTCATGTAGATAAAGAAGTCCCAATGGGCTAGATATAATTGCCTTGCGATCCTGGCTTCTGAAGACAAAAAGTTTTAACATTAGATCATTTATATCACCAAGCTTTCAAAATGAGTGAGTTCTCTGGCAGGTACCTGTGGCAGAATAGAGACTGATATACAGACTGACTAAGTGACTCCAGAGTTAAGTGGTTTCTCCACCAAATGTATGCTGATGTGTAAATGTCTCAGATAGAATCGTGAGCTCTACAATTTATTCAAAGCCCTCACGAGTGTATTCCATGATTAGAGCAACTTGTTTATTAATGCTGCTTAGCCGGGGGGAGTGGAAGAAAACACTCCTATTATTCAGCAATCTTTAATTCAAATTGACTGGGATATATTAATTCTTAAACGACACACTCGCTACTACAAGACTTCTTATTGGCTGCTAATACAGAAAAGCTACTGACTGCTTGACCCCTTGTCAGGTGTTCCTTGCCATCAACAGCATTTGTTCCACACCTAACATCCCTAAAGCTGAAAGCTAACTTTTTGTGATGCAAAATGCAGACCACGGCTTGCAATCTGGGGCACAAAAAAAACATGGTTAAAGCATCAAAAAAAGATGTCAAATCCCAGTAGAAATCCAATAGAATTATCTGTCTATATACCGAACGAAACATGCTGATTGAAAGGATTAAGACAGTACAATATTTCTATGCCAGCAGACATATCACCCTGCAACTCACAACTAGCAGCCCACTGAAGCTAAGCAGGTGTGAGCCTGGTCAGTACCTGGATGGGAGACCTCCTGGGAAACATTAAGGTTGCTGCTGGAAGAGGTGTTAGTGGGGACACTATACTGTAAAAAAGCGCTGTCCTTCGGATGAGACATAAAACTGAGGTCCTCTGTGGTCATTAAAAATCCCAGAGTGTTTCTCGAACAGAGAAGGGGTGTAACCCCGGTGTCCAGGCCAAATTTCCCATTGGCCCTTACTAATCATGGCCTCCTAATAATCCCCAACAACGAACTGGCTGCATTACATTGTTCTCCTTCTCATTGTGGGGAGCATTCTGGTGCACTATGTCGCATCATCCAGGTGGTGAAGGGGAGTCCCCATTACGTGTAAAGCAATTTGAGTGGAGTGTCCAGAAAAGCGCTGTATAAGTGTAAGGAATTATTATTATTAATATTTCTTACCCAGTAGACTCATGTAAGCTCATGGCAGAACGCACGCTCCCAGCGGAAGGAGCCAGGTGCTCAGGTGTGACTGTCCGGCTTTCCTCCCCAGGATCAGCACTTGGGAATGGTGGAGTACCATGTGCCGGTGGTTTCAGGAGGCGTGGCAGACATCTTCGACAAGCTGGAGACCAACAAGGAAGCCTTGCACATCAAACACTTCTCTGTCAGCCAGACCACGCTGGATGAGGTGAGAGGCCTGCTGTAACGAACAGTTCTTTCCGCACCCTATGCGGACGACACAATCCAGAATAATGAGGAAGGAATACACTAGGGAAAAGTCATGCAGGAACAGGGATGAAAACAGGGGGGCGTGTCCATACGGTGGTGGTGATCCGGGGAGGTGTGGCCGAGGCGAACAGTCCAGAATAAATCCAAAAGGGGAAATCCAGAAACTAAAGCAAAAGGTCCAAGGCTGAGGAATCCGTCCAAACAGGAGATTAAAATCAGGTGCCGGGACGGGACCAGCGGGGGGAACAAGGACAGGAGCAGGAAGTTAAAAACATAACGGAGCCAGGCACAACCAGGTCCCGGGCTCGCACGATGCAGGGATCAGATGCAGAGCGCCGGGTGAAGTGAGTGCCTGGCTTTTAAAGGCGAACAGAAACAGGGAAGAAACAAGGAACAGGTGGCAGGAATGATACAAACGAGGAAGGGCTGGAGCGCTCTTAAGAGGAGGGGTTACGATCGTGACACCTGCAGCGTGACCTGACCCAGAAGCAGGCACATGAAAAGTAGACCCCTCCCTAGACTCCCCGGCTGTGAATGAAACTAAGAAGGACTAAAAGGAACGCAAAGAATTGGAAGAAATTCCAATATTCAAATTTGAATCAAAGGAAATAGAAACCACCTCTTGGGATGCTGAGAAAGCTGCCCTGTTTACTATAGAAAGTGACATATGTCACAAAGTGAGAAAGTTTTAGAAATATCTGGAGCCCTGGGTATGAAATGACAGTACAGGAAGTGAAAACCTTGAAAAACTGTGACATGGCATTTTCTTCTCTTTCCAATGCCTCATGCTTTAAGATTAAAAAGAAAACACATTCCATAAAGTATGTGGTTATAGCATTTACATTTCTACAAATCCTTTATAGGAATTAGTGACTAATCCATTTCTTTTTCCTGCAGGTCTTCATTAACTTTGCAATGGGCAAGACAAACAAGAGGAGCTCAAACGGGTCAGAGACTGAGACTACAGATCCCACAGTGCTTGTGAACATTTAGAGCAGAAGCAGTGCCTGCAACTGCACACACAGTATGGACAGTCAAAGCTATGCTGCACATGTGAAAATGTCTCTGTGACGTTTCTTTTTATTCTTGCACAATACTTGATAAAGACCTATTTTTGTAATTCAAGATTTTTTAAGAACCTCATTTTATAATTTGAAAGATCAACGGTAATGAAGTAGGCATTTTATCATTTTCAATAGTAGCTGTAGTAAAGGACTTCTTTTGCCTAAAAGAAAGGAGGCTATTCTGACTGATCTGTCAACGATTGAGCAGGTTCCATTCCTGAGGTGTAGGAATATGATACCTCCCAAAATCTCTATTGTCTCAAATGAGAAATGAGAACAATTTCCTTGCCAGGATCATTTTTTAATGAGACAGATGTGGGGAAAAAAAGATCAAACTTTTTAATTTATTTATCTCTTTTTTATTTCTGAGTGTTTTGAACTTTCATTTATAAAAGGCTTTGTTCTGCACTTGTTTGTCACTGTTTGGTGAATGCATTTCAGGTGCAGGTTTAAAATGTGGTTGTTTAAACAATGCTGAGACATTGCCAATTTTCTTTTGCAACATTCTATGTGAAACATGTAACTAAAGGAGATGAAAAGGCACATTTGCTAACAGAATGTGAAAATGGTTTACAGAATATATACAGTATATATACAATGAGAAATTCCTGAAATATTTATTTTCCTTGAAATGTAACTATTGTTGTGTTTTATTTTATAACGGAAAGGACAAAAATAGTAAAAAGGAAGTTTTCATTTCATTAGTGAAAGCAGATAAACCAATACCCAAGGTCAGCTTACTGACCCTCACTGTGAAGTAGCACATATTCTCACACATTCGGGCATTTCCCCAGATTCATTTGTAACATGGCATGATTACTGAGCCAAAACCCAGTGGATTCTATTTAAAACAACAGCAATGGTCAGCATTGTGACCTCTGAGGACTTGTAATAAAAAGGGTTTGGAAATTTACAGTCCTGAAAAAAAAGCACCGGATAAACTCCATAGACACTTCAAATGAGTGGCATGATGGTCATCACGAAAGCCTTCTTTAGTTTCGAACCTGGGAGGGAGTGTTGTTTCCAGTACAGCCAGTACAGGCAATGAGACTGGAATACAACCAGAAGAGCACAAAGGGTAGAAAGCCTTCTCTCATCAGTCATCTTTCTTATGCTCAGAATAGAATCCTGTAATATCTCGTGGAGCCTGTAATGTCCTGTTTCTACAATAACCCAACCCTGGGGGAAGCGTTTCCTCTGCTATGTCAGGATCAATTAGCCCTTCTCTTACAGGCAGTGGGGGTGGAGTGAACGACCTATGCCCAGCTGTTTTTGGGACTTGGAGGAATTGTGTTGCCATCTGATGAAATCACATCACAAAGCATACGTGTCTTCTGGTTAGGTTTCCTCATGATCATTCTAACCTGCTACTGTAGTCCTATGGGAAGGGAAAAATGTCTTTCTGCATATTTTTATATGCTGTAATGCACAAATGTACTAGGGCGTATGCTTAATTTTACAAGACCGTTGTTTTTTAAACCGAATTATTCACGTCATGGTTTTATAACCGTATCAAGCTCGACGGAGGTGGAGGGAGAATGGGGAAAGGGATTTCAAGGCCCTGTTTAAAATAGCTAAAACAGTTTGGAACAAGCTAAAGAAATAAACAGACACGTGTGCAGAGATGACCACTGGCACCTACAGGCTTGCTGGTATGCATACGAGATCAGCAATGCTGGTCTGCAGCAACGTAGCTCATTCCTGGCTCAGTATCTATATGAGGAGATCCCAAGAGGTGGGGCACCTTTGAGAATTTTGCAGGGAGCAGTCAAAGATGCCCTACAAGTATTTATTAGTGAATGCTAGCCTGACCAAGGTCCTAATGTTTACATTGTCACTAATATCCTCCCACTCTACTGTTATAGGCAAAAGAAATCAAGATAGCAGCTTCCCCAGACTCACAGCTCTAAGAAAATGTCAGACATTCCACTGCACACAATGTCATTTGCCCCCGACTTAAATCTAAAATAAAACTGTCTGAACAAAAAGGCGTTGGACTGCATTTATAGGTCGGCTCCATCTGTCAGTTCGAAAAATGTCACTTGCAAAAAAAAAAAAGATTATGCAAAATAAACTTGAGGATGGATGAAATGCAAGCCATATGACTTAGGCATTGATTTTTTTATATAGATCACAGAACTATGTGCGTGCTGAGAGTACGCCAGGCACTGTGCCAGTATGATGTAGTCATCCTCTACAAAAAAGACCCCCTGCATCTTCGCAAACTTGTTTCTGCGTTTCTCAAGGTGTCGAAACTTCTGAGGGGGTGGGAGAGAGAGCTGAATAATGGTTTTAAATCACAGCAGCCACATGATTAATGCAGAAGACTCAGACTGGGCTATAGAAGACCTGGATGAAGTGTCAGGGTGTGTAATAAATTATCCTTGGGCAGCCCCCTGTAGTTCTCATCCCACACTACTGATCGTTACCGAAAAAAGATAAATCCCTGCTTTGCCTTCCATTTAGGTACTGCAGTCATTGTACCGCGGAAAGCTGGGGAAACCAATAACAGTATGCTTTTGAGAAAATAAAAATGTTATTCAGCCTAGACTTCAAATTCTTACTGCCTCAGAGATAGACTTGGAAAGCTGCCAATTCCCATTCATAGTGGATTAAAAGCATAAATTCTTTGCCGAAATAAACAAGCCTTATTATTGTTTTTCTTGTCCTCCTTGGACCTTAAAAACAGCCCTCAGGACTACTCATGGAATGCTGCTTGATTCCTGAAGAGTCCAGGCATGTATCGTGCACACATGCATACAGAGCTCTGTCATATTTCAGTAATAAGCCTTGACTCCACAGCTCAGGCAAAACAATGACATCATAAACGGACACGAATGTTCCCGTATCTTGGGATTTAGCCTTTCATGTGACACAGATGCTGATGCAGATATTTAGGTTATGAGTTCAGAAGAGCTTCACAGAAAAAAAAAATTCCATTGCCCATCATTATTTAAAAGGGGTCATGCAGCAAGGATATGCATATGAATGAATGATTCTGTATGTTTTCCTACAAACAAACCAAAAAGCACTTCATCTGGTACTCATTGTATAGCAAAAGCACTTAGTTTGTGCAAGTTCTGTTTTTCCATTTGTTACAAATTCCAAAAACGTAGCTTATCTTTCACAAAGGTGCCATACAAATTCATAAATATAAAACCTGTGCCATTATTAACGATCCTATCATTTTAAGAATCCATCTCAACAAACATTTCCAGGACAAACAAAATATAAATACTATGCAGCTTGGATAAAATCATAGGGAGACATCAAAAATGAAAATAAAAAAGAAAATTACATTATCTACCAAAGACATAATAGGCAGTACTGAGCGGCACCATGCCTCCAGCTGATCAAAGAAAGTTCCATAATAAATAGTATTATAAGCATAGTGTAGACAGAGGAGTCACAAGTGTGGCAAGTCCTTGAGATAAACAGATCTCCAGGGCTTAATGGCACTCTATTAGTAAATACAATTCTTGCTCAGCCACTCAGGACAGGAATATTAAAGCTCCGTGAAGTTGGCCCCCCTACAGACAGCACAAACGATTAAACCCACCTCATTCGTTTCCGAGACACAGCGCCTTGTTTTTTCGGGGTCGTGACATCACTCAGCCCCCCTACAATGTTGTAGGAAAACCAAACCGGTCTCATTCGTTAGTGCTGCTTTTACTGCTTTTGTTCCCGAGATATAGAGCCTTGTGTTTCCGGTGATCACGTGACCATGCACGGTGAGTTTGACCTCCAGTGACCCCGTCTGCCGAGTTCAAGCGCTCTGTTACAGTTTAGCTCGTACCCTTAACATTTTAAAGACAATCAATATCCATAAACATACAGTATGAGCCTCCTTGGATGTGAATAATACTAAGACATGATGCATACCAACAAGTTAACCATCTATGACATAAACCTGTGGCTGTAATGTATAAAATCACCGTGATTATAAGGTTGTGTATGGTTTTTATTTTCTAAGGCACGTTTTCCTTTTATTTCCCTACCGTGACACTGTTACCAAATGCATAACTGTTGGATACCATCGCGACAAGACCTCCACAGCATGTTATGATAGGGACCCCATGTATATCGCATGTATATCGCGGCAGTGTATTGATTGCAGTGTATAACTGGCGCCTGCTTCCATGCCACCCTGGCATCAGCTGTTGCAACAAAGGTCTCATATCAGGACATGATATATCCAGATAGGACGTCTCATGATATATGGACTTTGGACATGGGGTCATCAGATCCTGTCAGGGTATGTCGATATGACAAAAGTGCCCCCCCCATATCGCGACATGTGGACTCCATGTCGCGACATTGGAGCGGGGCATTTTGTCAGAGGTATGTCATATCGCGATATAAAGCCTTTCATGTCGCGACATGGGGCGGGGGCACTTTTGTCATATCGCGATATATAGACTCCATGTCGCGACATGGGGGGTGGACGTTTTGGCTGGGCATGTCATATCGTGATATGTGGGCTTCATGTCGCGATATGGACGCGGGGTGGCATTTGTCATATCGCGATATGTGGACTCCGTGTCGCGACATGGGCGGTGGCGTTTTGTCGGGGCATGCCATATCGCGATATGTGGACTTAAAGTCGTCACAGTGGCGCCATGACAGTG